AAGGAAGGAAGGAAGGAAGGAAGGAAGGAAGGAAGGAAGGAAGGAAAAAGTGAAAATATTAGAAGTAAAGAGAAGAAAAAAGAAGGAAGAATAGATAGAAAAGGATGGAAAGAAGGCTCGAATGAAAGAAAAATGATTGAAGAAAGAAGAAATGAAAAGATGAAGGGAGGACTAAAAGAAGGAAGGAAAACACAAAGTAAAACACACATTAGGAAAGAATGTAGGGAGAAAAGATTAAATGAAAAAAGGAAAGAGTGATAAAACAAAGTAACAGAAGAACACAAAGCAGAGGACGGGGGATAAACAGAAGAAGAAGAGGAAAAAAGGAAGGATTAATGGAGGACGAACGAACTAAAAATCCAAGTTTTATTAGTCGTCGTGTTTGGAGGAGCGACAGGACGTGATGTGGAAGAGAGAAAAGACACGGAGCAGAAGAGACGTCCCTCAGATGGACTCACGAGTCAAAAAGACCCGGAGCGTCCAACGTCCCCTCTGTTAGCTTAAGGAGGAAAAGCGTGATCGAACCGGAACTCTTCCATCCGGGTCACTGCTGCAGCGATGGCCACTCAACATGGCCGCCCTGGCGTCGCTGCGATACCAGTTAAAGCACTAGAAAACTACAACTACTCTCAATATGATCCTATAAGCTTGAGACACGTGTGGAGAAATAAAATCCCATGGTTAAATACAAAAATCCTCTCAAAATATTTAAAATATACTTTATTTTATACAATTATGCAAACGGAATCTGATGGTTTTAAAAAATAAATTAATAGTCAGCGACGTGTCGACTCACAGATGTATAAAGGCGATGGAGTAAAGCGCCCACCCTACGTTAACAGATACCCTGACTCCGTCCAGTTCCCTGTAAAATGATCTGAATGAGCCGTTCACATGAAAACTACGCTTCCTACGGCAGCGCCACTACACCACTGGGCTGTAAATACAATATTGCTCTACATTTCTTTTCTTATTTTAATTCTAAATCACCATATCAATCTTGAATGTTTGTCAAAAGTACTCAACGCTAACTTGTACCTTTTATTGCTTCGTGAGATCACATGGAAATTTGAACTTTACATTGAATTCATCAGGGACTCACGGGGAACTTCGCCTGATCTGACCAGGATTCACGGATGTAAGAAAAGGCAACTCTCCTGTGGGACCAGTATAATCTGTCAGCTGGCCTGTCCCGTCGCGTAGAGTAACTCTTCACTGAAGAGATCTAAGTATTACGGTTGCAGTGTGTACAAAAGCAATGAGAAAAGCACGATGTTTTAATCTTGACATATAAAAAGAAAAAGAAAGAAAGGCGCGTTTATCTCGTCTGAAAACTAAAAACAGTTCTTTAGCCAGAGACAGTGATGTCCAGTTCTGAAACAGCTCCCTCCTCGCCACAACCCTTTAAATTTGGTGTAAAGTTCAACAAAAACAAGCCGGAGACAACTAACCCCTCGAAGTTTATGCTAACATAAACTCTTACATTCATATGAACTGCTCCCTAGAGCGCGGAAAATGTTTCCGCGGTTTAGAAGCTCTAGTACGCACGACAGCTTTGCATAATGGAGGGTAGAAGGAAAGGACAAGCCGCTACAATCAAACTAACTAGAAGGATGGGGTTTGGGCGTGGAGGACAGATGGGGGAGGTGTGGGAAGTCCATTTGGGAAGGCTGGGGGAGGATCTGGGTCAAGAAGGTGCCCCCCCCCCCCCCATGAGTTAAAAGGGCATCTTCCTTTGGCAGTGGAACAGCACGCAGTAGTCCAACGCAGCGCCAAAGGTGAAGGTGTACACAATGCTCTGTCGGACAAGAAGGCCATTTCAGTGTGGAGACGGGATGAAGGCATTCTATAGGCAGCCGGGTCACAGTGTTGGAGCTGAACACCTCTGATGACGGACCGGTCCTACACTGGCTCCCCTCGGCTGGGGTCCTGGGACTCTGGGATCAGGAGAGGACAACATGAACGAATTCGCCAACATTTTGTTTCCACGTACCGTCCGTGATGCTTGAGTTGTCGGAAATCAGAGGTTCACACATTCGTCAAGAAGAAAAAGGCAGCAAAAGTTTAAAATTATAATCATTGCTGGTTTACATGTGCAAGCACTGAAAGAAAAATAAATAAAACAAGAGTAAAACGGCAGCACAAACAACATAAACGACTATTAACACTTGAGGCACTTTTAAAATGACGGTGTTAGAATGATCCCTCTCTTTAAAGTGGGGGGGGAAATGTAATTATTATATTTGTTTTACTTTCAATGCATTAGATCTTTGCATTAAATTGAAGACTTTTTTTTAAATTATGTATTATTTTTATATTTTGTGTGTGGGGGGGGGGGGGGGGGGGGGGGGGGTGTTAGGTGCTATTATGTCCAAAGAACCCCTGATGTCTTGAGTGGAAAAAACACAAAATATACAATTTTTGCAAAAATAAGATGAAAAATAATTGGTGCGAGGTACAATCTGCACTATGTCAATAATTGATAACATTAATTTAGCTAAAATACTACTTTGAAAACAATGAGTTACTTTTAATAAACTTACAATGAATTTAGTCCCAAAACAATCCCTCCTAAAATAAAAATAATGGAATTTGAAATGTAACATAATACGTATATATATATATTTTTTTTTATTTATTATTATTATTATTGTATAATGTCAGGATTCCAATATATCAAATGTCTGTACGTTCAGGCCCATTTTGGTACCACTGACTCCAGTTAGAACCACAGAGAGTTGTGCAGAACTCCTATTCTGTTCACCTTGCATTAGAGGAAGATGGTGATATAAAAGAAATGTCATGGACATTTTTCATACTATTTAAACTGACAGAAATATTGAGAATCAAAACTAACCATTAAGCAGAACGTACACGTGTCATCCCCCAAGGTGCTTTAATGGTCAAAGTGGGAACAAAAGTCTTTGTCCGCACCTGATTACCCAACCAACTGGTCCCAAACAGTTTCCAAGCTCGTCAGAAGGCTTTCTACAAAGTGCTGGAGTCATTTAATATAAAAGGGGCAATCATCAAAGTGTTGCCAGCATGACATGGTCCAGAAAGTCTTGGTTTATCTGATTGGAGGTTGAACCCAAACCTCGAGTGAAACCGCTCAGTTCAACCAGTAACAGCTGTGGCCAAACACTTCACGATGTTTTATTCATTTTATTTAAGACAACACTGTTTACGTTTTTACTAGTTCTGGTAAAAATGTGCCGTTACTGAAAATACACACGAATGTATTTTCACATGATTTATTAAAACATGTGCTCACATGATGGTAGCATGTGAACACATGTTTGACATATATATATATATGAATCACGTGTTTCGCATGTGATATTCATGTGTTTTTAAAGTAATGTAAATGGCATTGAAATAAATCTTTTTGTTATGGCAAAACAAGAACTGGTCTACCTTCCTCAGAGTCTGAGGGTGGTACTTGTGTGAATGTTTATGAAGCTCACTGTTTTTCAGCGTCTTTCTCGTTCCACAGCTTTTGTGCTATTTCAACAAATCATTCATCCAAACGTTCAGCTCTTTCAGGAACAATCCTGCTATGACTTTGGGTTTTGGTACAACTTTAGCTTTTTGAAATATTTATCCTTTTCTGCCTTTTTTTTTCTCGTAGGAAATGAATTGAGCTCATTTTACATCCTTCATATCTTTACATCTGTTTACAACCTTTTACTGCTCCATTCACATTTTGTTCTGGTTCAGCTTCTTTCAGCTTGTGCAACTTTAAACATGTTTCAGCTATTTTCTGCTAATTTCAGCTTTTTTCTGCTGTTTTGTGCTACTTTCAGATTATTTCGGCTAACTACCGTACATTTTTGTGCTTCTTCTAACTTTTTTCTGCTAATTTCAGCGTGTTATACTCCTTTCAGATTATTTCTGCAAGTTTCAGCATGTTCTGCTATTTCAGCTACTATTTAGCTGTATTTATGCTAATTTTAGTCTTTTCAGCTAATGCCACATTTTTTGCACTCTTTTCAACTTTTGTCAACCTAATTCAGCAAAAATGTGCTCTCTCCACTTCCTTCTTTTTAAGCTTCTTTCTGCCTTTTTTTTTAGCTACTTTTCAGCTGTTTCTTTTATTTTTGGTTGTTGTTGCCAATTTCAGCTTTTTTCAGATAATTGCCACTTTTGTTGGGCTTTCCTACTTCTTTCAGCCTAATTGGGCAAAACTGTGCTCTCAGGATCCATCTGCTAATTTAAGCTTGTTGTAATTTTCAGCTAACTTTTTAGCATTTTTTTTATCTAATTTGTGGTCATTTCTGCTACTTTCAGCCTAAGTGACTTCTTTCTGCTAATTTCAGCTTATGCTCCTTTCAACTTAATTCTGCTAGTTTCGGCTTTTCCAGCTATTTCAGCTACTATTTAGATGTTTTTGTGTTAAATTAAAAATTTCAGCTAATTTCACATTTTTGAGCTCATTTCAGCTCCTTTCACTTAGTTCTAGTTACTTAACCTTCGTTCTGCCTTTTCAGCTACGTTTCAGCTATTTTTTTCTTAGCTAATTTCAGCTTTTTTAGAAAATTTCCTAACCTTTGTGCTAATTTCTGCTTACCTAAACCTAATTCAGCAAATATGTGTTCTTTCGGTTTTCTCCTGCAAATGTAGGGTTGTTCTTCCATTTCAGCTACATTTCAGCATGTTTTTAGCTAATTTCAGCTGTTTTTTATCAAGTTATTTGGCAACAAGCATTCACACTGCATTTCCGCAGGAAATTATATTTCTCTAGTTAAATTTGGTTTAAATGTTATTTTAGTTTTAAAATGATAATGCTGACTGAGCTTTTAATGATCTAACAGTGATAAACAATACTTTTTTTTATCCCTGTGCACAGAAGTGAGTGTGAAGTGCAAAAACCACCATTTTCTATTCTCACCTGAGAGAGAGGATTTCTGCTCATCTTGCAACACTGCCTCCTCAGCGCACTGCTGTGACTGAGTGACCTCCTGATTGTTCTCCTTGTCTTCTTGCGATACTGCGTGGAGCTTGTCCACTTCCTTTCCCTCCCCTTCTGCTTCCCCCTCCCCAGAGTCAGTACTCTGGATGCTCAGGCGCCTCACTCGACATATGACGTCCACCTCTCTCATCCTGGCAATCCGCTCGGCAGCCACGTGAGCTGGAGAAATTGCCAGTTTGTTCTGCAATGCTTCTATTCGCTGGGAGGGGCCTCTGGTCCTCCTCTCCCCCTCCAAGCTTAGAGATAACCTTCGGTCCAGGTTTGGGGGAACTGAGAGCGGCAGTCTATCCGGTGGAAACTCAGGCAACCCTGTATGGTCTCGGCCCAGATGAGTTCGTAGACCAAACCGAAGTTCCGGGACAGAGACAGACTTTTTCTCTATTTCTTTCCGGCCTCTGGGCAAAGTGTTGCTTTGACCCTCACATTTTGCTACAAATTTCTTTTTGCCAGTATCAGGTGTTTCTCCTGAACTGTTTAGTTCCTCTTCTAAATCTATTTTTTTAGTTACAGTTTCATTAACACACGGTTCCTCCGTGACTTCTGAGTTCGCAGGCTGATCGGTTGGTAATATAGTGGATGCAGAGGAAGGATCATCAGTAGATCCATCTTCATGTTCACCCTCAGCAGGATTATCCATGCACGAACTGTTGGAGTTTTCCACCAGAGCATTTTCTGTTTGTTCACTGTCTCCTTGCATCTGTGAGGGCTTCTCCACTGTCTCTGCACACGGCTCAGGCCCTGACGGATTCAAACTCGAGTCATTTGGCTCCTCGGTTTTTGAGTCTTCTGAAGGACTTTCTAATGCAGCACATTGTGGTGGACTTCCATTTTGAGTGGTTGAGCTGTCTGAGCTGTTCTCCTCGTGAAGTGGAGGCAGCGGACCCTGTCTCATCTGATTCTCAAGCTCCCTTTTACAAATAGGACACTCATCTTCAGAATCAACACCAAGATCTTGAGGAGGCTCCATGTCATTGGGTCTAGAATTCCCTCCAGATGGTCTATTCGTATCGGTCGTGTCTTTAGATTGACGCAAAGTCTGGCATATGTCCTCGTAATCTGGAGGACTAGTAAGTGTAGAGGCATCTTGCATGGGCTGTCGATCTGCCCACGGGACCTCAGCTGATGTACTGTTCGTTGTTGGACTGAAGTCACAAAGCGGCGTCTCAATAGGCTCATCTGGCAAGTCTAGTTTCACTGTCCTGCCATCGTTGCTCCTTCTACGTGAAAGATGTGCAACAACCCTGTATTCTCTGAATCCTGTCTCTCTTGGTGGGACAGGGAGCTCTTCTCTGAGCTGTTTGCTGAAGGTTACAGACTTTGTTGCAGGCCTGGAGAAGGCGCTCTTCACTTCTCTGTATTCTGGGTCAACAGACCAGCTTACAGCACTGCGCCTAAGGCTGCTGGGCTTGTTGAGAGGTTCTGATGTCAGTCGGATTTTGATACGCTCAGGTATTTGAACTGAGCCATTGGGGACTTTATTGCCAGCAGTGCCTAGCTCCAAGATGTCTTTGTAGGCCTCGTTGAGGTCCTCTATGCACTTGTCAACACTTGGTTGTTTGCTGACCTGCTGCTGCTGTTGATCCTGAATTTCTTTTTTGATGGTTTCCAGTTCTTTGACAGCATCCCATGGTCTTTGTACTGTGGGCTTAATTAAAAATGGTTCAAATGGTTCTTGCCCACTGTTTGCTGGTTCGTCCTCCTCCACATTTCCTGAGGGTGGTACTGCTGGCGACTGAGGTGTACTCTTATTCATCTGGCTGGAGAAGGTGGAGGTCAGAGAGAAGGCGCTGTTGCTTGACAGTTTCAGGCTTTTGACTCCCTTGATTGGAAAAGTGAAGGCAGCACCCACTAAACTACTGTCTGTAGCAACGTCAGTGTCAGGAGGGACAGTGTCTTCTTGTGCTTCCTTGTTCTCAGGGCTGGGTTTTCGAGCTTCTGGGCTAGTTTGTGTCTCCTGATCTCGATACTGGTTTGCAGGCCATGTTCCTGACAGCTTCAGTTCCTTGTAATGATTTATCTTAGGGGGTCGACAGGGCAGTTTTTTAAACATTTTGCTGCTTGCTCTGCTGCTTGTTTTGCTGCTTGCTATGCTACCAGTTAGAGCCTGCAGCTCAGCTTCAGCTGATGATGTGCTTTGGAGGCTTTGGTTAGTTAAATGACCAGTTTTGTTGTCGCTAGGACTGCCTGCAGGGTCTGGTGACTTTTCATTGTTGTTATTCTGGTCACGGATCATTATAGTGGGCTGAGGAGTAACAGGGACAGACACTAAACAAAAAATGGTTTCGCTGAGTCTCTTTTTCAGATTTTTGGACTTTTCTTTCTCTGGTGGTTCATGTTGTTCCACTTTCTTTACCTCTGTTGTTGTTGTTGTTGCTGTTGTTGTTTCAGAGACACCCTGGTCAACCGGTTTACATGGGGGTGGTGGTGGTTTACCGAGAAAAGATGAAGGAAAAATATGACTACGAGTATGTTCAGGACCTACGCTTTCACTTTTTTTAATACCCCTGATGCACCGTCGATTACTGCTGTCATTGTCATTGAGAGCTGTTTTGTTGGTTTCAGTGTTGGGAGCTGGGCCCTGTTGGGGAGGAAAGGCACTATCATGGGTAGATTGTCCTAGAGTTTTAGCAGGCGGAATCTCCTTGTTGATGTTTCGGATCTTGTCTGAGTCATCCTTGTTGATGTTTCGGATCTTGTCTGAGTCAATGAGAGAAGTCCCACTAGGCCCTCCTGAGATTTGCTTTACTCTTGGGTCTTCAATGGGTAACTGACGAGCCAGACTGGGTTGTTCTTCCAGTGAATGTACCTGTTTTCGATAGGACGTACTACGCTCCTGATAATGTTCCAACCACAAGCCACTTGCCTGTCTGGAAAGCCACCTTCCAGGATCTGAGATGGGCATTTGCAAAGCTTCTGCCCTCCATCTTAAGTTTGCCAATTCGTTGCGATGGAATGAAACTCCTCTTGGGGGTGGGGCTCTTTTATATGAAGGGGGTGGAATGTAGCCAGGAGGCTCCATTCCAGTGAGGGCAGAGTGTTGTGCGAAATAGTCATGTCTCAGCTCCCTAACCCTCGGATAATAGATGGATCTGTCTTTTTGTTTGGCACCCTGTTCTATGGCAAGCATTTCTGCGCTACCCCTTGTCTGCTGGTGTATCTCATATGATGGCGGTTTTAAAGGCCTACTGAACCTGGGCTTTGGTAAAAGTGCAACATGGCTGCTCGGGCCAACATTCCTACCCCAACCATTTCTTCCACCACCATAAACATACCTACTATAAGGCCCAGAGAAAACAGTGCTATTTAACCTTTGCCTATCAGGTAGGCTAGGTCTTGATGGTACAAGCTCTCTGCAGTCATTTCCATCGGGTAGCAAAACTCTAGGTAGTGACTGAGACTTTGCTTTAGTTCTAGGGTGGAAAAAACCCTCAGGTGTCCGCAGGCGATACTGGTCCTTAGCCCACCTTTCCCCATCCCCATCTGACAGCTGCCTTCCCATGCCCACAGCAGGCCTCCACTCCTCTGTACCCAGGCTTTGGCACTTCCTCTCCTCAGTCACCCTTAGCTGACCAGGGCCTGCATCTGGGTCTCTTAACCAGGAAATATCCTCCCATAGTTGCTGCGCTTGCCTCTCTGCCCTATATTCCTCTGCTGTCATCAGGGCTTGTGGCCTCCATGCTCCAGCCGAGGCCCTTAGTTCCCTGCCGTCCGCATAGTCCAGCAGGATGCTGAAGTCCTGGCCTCGCCTCCGCCAGTAGGAAATATCCCGTTCATCATAGCTTATTGGCTCTGAGTAAGTCAGACTAGGAACATCATAGAACCTGCAATGAAAAAAAATGGTTAGTTTAAATTAGTTTCAGCTTCACAAGGAGTCTAATGTATGACATTTAGCTTCATCCTTGCAAAGCTTTCACAATTACTTTTATGTCAGTTTTATTCATTTTTTTTAGAAAGTTGGCACATGTGAGAACCACCCATAAAATTTTAATGACAACATACCAATCTCTGAGGTTTTATCATTGTTAACGATGAAAAATGACATGTCCAAGTCAGCAGCGAGTAAGCGTTTTGGCGATGGCTGTATTGGTTTTACAACACAACTTAATCAAGACAAGCCAGCACACACGAGACAGATGTGCTTGAGTCAGCGGCTTCAGAGTTCTTTAAAGACATCATGAAATTGTGATGCTACTGCAATATGATCTGCATAATAAATTGTGCTGACCCTATCTTGAAAACTGGTCATCTGGCCAGTGACTGTGGGTCTTAAAAGCTCCGTACAGTAAATCTATCCTCTTACCTGATCTGATGTAAAAGCAAAAGTGCCTTTATTTATGTATTTATTCAATCGCATAACTGAATTTGAAATGAATCACTGCTCCTTAAAGAAAAACAGTAGTTACGTACACATTAAGCTGTAACAGTCAGTTGTTCAGTTTTTAATAGGTTTTAACATAAAAGAGATTTATCTTTGATTGGCACTGGGACTAAAATAAAATCTCAAAAGCTTTTCTGTAAATTTTTTCAGAAAATTTTGATGTAACTAATACGAGTTGGCAATTATGTGACAAATTAAAATACTGTTTCCACAATGAAGCAGGAGATCTTGGAGATCTTCCATCCTTATTTTACAGGTTGCAGCACCATTTGAAATAAAGCAAATATATTTTTAAAACTAGCATTCTTTGAAGGAATGCATATCACCCCAGTTCATGTCAAAATGTTAATCTTAAACTCTAGTGTAACCTTTTATTATTCAAAGTATGTCATCGAGAAAAACTCTAGCTACAACCACGGTAAATTTTAGCTAAAAATCTGAAAAATTAACGGAGTTATTGTTATGTTTGTGTTTGTCGAGGTAGCTGTGGCAGACGTTTAAATCAAATTGACCTCAAAAGTTAATCAGTTGTACAGTAAATGTACATCCAGAGATAACTTTCTGAGAGTTTCATTAAAATCTGCTTTGTGGTTCATGAGATATTTTGCTGACAAACAGGAAAACGGTGCAGAGGCTGTGACATGATCTTTTAAACAAAAGTATTTTTGTTCAATTGCACTGAAACAACTTAAACTTTCTGACATTTTTCGAATAATAAGATAACATTTTTGTACATATCATCTCAGATCATCCCATCCTGAGGATATTTTATACATTATTCAACCGTTTTTATTTCTTTTTAAAACTTTGAATAAAGTCCCTTCCAAAAGACTAAATGAAAGGTTGCATTTTCCTCAATGTGCAAAAGATAAAACCCTTATTTGGCCGGAGCTTCCTCAAATATCTGCATTGCACAAAAGCCCTCTTAGTCAATGTACTCCTTCATTGAAGCAGCAGAGTCAATGGATCATCCTCAGCAGCATATGCTACTGTATGGCTGAGGGGAGCTGCGCTGTGCACACTTGCCCAGCAACATGCTTACATCACGGAGCACGTGCTGGGTGTGATTCAGTGTGCCACTGTTTACAGTGGAGTGATTACACGCCTGTCTTGAGGCATGTTCCTCCAGTTTGCTCACCAACTAGTGCTGCTGTTTACATCTGCCTGCTGGCTGGAGGCTGCGAAAACTAAATCGGAGCAGGAGTGGGCTCAAGCCACGTCTCCGTGCGGGCATCTAAACAACTTGAGCCACCTTTCATATTTCCTCATACTCCAGTTTCAGACGTGTCAGTGGTGATGCTGCAGCCTCTCTTCTGCAGCTCTGTCAGGAGAGGAAGAGAAGTAGGAAGAGAAGGAGAAAAAAAAAAAATCCGGCGCAGTGCAGACTCAGTTTTGCATGCAATACCAAAGGGCCCCAGTGAGGAGAGGTTAGGGAGAAAAAAGAGAAGGTAAAAGGGTGTGGGGGGGCTGCAAAAGAGAGAAGAAAAGCACTCACCCACTGTCTGTTGCGAGAGAATCACCCAAGAGCGGAGCATCACCTAGGATACCAATGCCGACTTCTTTTCTCCTTAGGTTCCTTTCCCCGCTCTCGTTGTCTGCAGGGAAAGCCTTCACCAGAGCCTGCCTGGTGCCATAGATGCCTGTGATAGATGAGGGCCCCTTGTCCACCTCATACCCGTTCAGCGTCCCCCGGCCAGCCTTGTTTTCCACAAGTTCACGTTGGCAGTCGGCAGGGCGCTTGTCGTAAGGCGTGGCAGATGGAGCGCCACTCTTGGGCAGTTTGTATCCGTGGGAAATGAGGAGGTCCTCCACGCTGTACATGACGGCGTCTCTCTCACTTCAGGGCGGGAGGGCAAAGGTGGGTGTGCTGCCTTATGCGCAGTGCTGCTGGTGGAAGCTGGAGCACGGATGCTCAGCAGAGGCCATTACTGAGGAGAGAACAGGGAGGCAACTTGTAATAGCATGCAGCAAAACCAAAGACAGCAGCTGATTCTAGGAAAACGTGTTTCTTTGTTTGTTTACGGTAGCTCACGTTCTGCCAAATGCTTGCTTTAAAAAAAAAAAAAAAAAAAGCTTTAAGGTTCTCATGGCTTTGTAAGAAATCAGACTTAAAAATGTTATTCTGAGCAGTTTGAAAGAATTTACCCCGGTCAATTTCCAGATGTATTGATATGTAATTCTAAAATGCAGGTACACACTGAATGTAAACAAAACACTCAGACGAATCAACCAGAAACCAGGTGGAAGCTTGAGTCACATTTAGGCAGGTAGTTTGTGAAGGTAAGCAAATTTGGCGTAATCGGACAACCGCAGAGCTTCAGAAAAGACGTCTAGATGGAAATGTAAGACTTAATCTGCTGCTAAAAACAGATAAGAGAAAGAACAAGGAAGACAGCTGTCAAGGAGAATATCAGGGATCAAGCAGGGACTCGATGCACGTTTTTTAAAATCTGCTGGACCAGGAAGTTCACGGTTTTACCTCTTTTCAGTCACTTGAGAAATAAAGTTGTGCAAATTTAATTTACTTTATGATTCACCAAAATTCATGCTCAATAATCCAGGTATAGAATCCAACAATGTTCAGTCAGGTCACCTGGACGGTTCTTTTTTTTGCTGAGACGTTTCGTCCTTCATCCAAGGGACTTCCTCAATCTAAGAAGCCACCAAACAAAACAGACTCCCCCCAAACAGCATATTCCATAGTGGAAAAAACTTTGGCATGACGGTCTCAGAGGAGTTGACGGGGACGAGGGCGGGCCCTGGAGGCCAACTTTACACAAGCAAACTGGGTTTTTTCCACTATGGAGTGTGCTGTTTGGGAGAATCAGTTTTGTTTGACGGCATCTCAGATTGAGGAAGTCCCTTGGATGAAAGATGAAATGCCTCAGCACAAAAAAAGAAACCATCCAGATGACCTGACTGAACATTGTTGTACTTTATGATTGATTTTTAACCAGTTTAAGCCTTTTTCTAAATCCAGAAACTATACAACTTTATAACCAAACACGGTGCTGTACCTTCTTAGACAGTTCACAACAAAATTTAATTAAACTTCAACACAATCAAGTTCTATTTGACAAATGCTCAATATTGTCTCCTGACATGGACAACATATCCACAAATTACATGACGAGAACACGGAGTTGGGTGAGATGTGGTCTAAAGAGATTAGTTTTGAAGGAGGTTTTAAATGTCTCTGTGGATATTCAAAAAGATGTCTAAAGACGGGGGGGTGCAGGACGGCTGATCGGCCGACAGATGGAGGGGAGAACTGGAAGACGATCAGAGAGTTTGACACTGTGAGCAAGAGAAACATGGAGAGCTTTAAAAGTGAATATAATCTTAAATTCAATGTGACGCTGGACGTATTGGAGAACAAGACTTATGTGTTCAGTAGGCAGGCAGCGGAGTTCTGGACCAGTTACACTTATTGGATTAATTTGTGGCGTACACCAAAGAGAAGAGATTTGCAATGATCAATATGAGAGGCAACAGCAATGTGAACAAGATTAAATGTGCTGAAAGATTAGGGTACACAGAACAAATGAGATCATCTGTGTTTTACAGAAGAAAACCTGACAATTATCATAAAAATGATTACACTTCTTCACACAACGAGAGGGACTGACTGTGGAGCTGTCAATTGTAATAAAGTAAAACAAACATTTAGTGGAGTTAAAGAGAACAGGAATAAGTAAATAATGTGTTTCCTAAAAATGAAACTTGTAATAAAAAGAAGGATCTCCAGAACTCAGCCCTGGGGATCACCACTAATTTGGGATGGTTGTGACCAGAAACCTTTAATTTGCTTTAAGCTGCTTGTTTTGAGAGCTGACATTGAAATAATGAGTAGACATGAAGTTCAGAAAACGTAATGTTTTGCATCAAAGTTCATGCGCCATCATCCAGGTACAATATCCAATAATCCTGATGCATGCTCAATAATCCAGGTAGAAAAATCTAAAAAAGTTAAATCTGGTCCTCTGGACATTCAAAAATAACAAAAAACAAACAAACAAAAAAAAAAAACCCAAAGCAAATCAACAAAAAATGTAGATTTTTTTGTTGATTTGCTTTGTTTGTTTTTTTGAATGTCCAGAGGACCAGATTTAACTTTTTTAGAATATCCAATAATGCTCAATCAGGTCATCTGGACAGTTTCTTATTTGTGGAAAGACGTTTCGCCCTCTATCCAGAGGGCTTCATCAGTCTGAGGAGTCCCAAGAAAACTGTTTCCCCACTTAGCAGTAGACTCCTTTAATGGACCAACAAGTTTGCTGGTGATAAGATGGTTTCTGGGGGCTGTCCTGGCCCCCATTGACTCCTCCCAGGCAGGCACAGCCAAAGTGGTTCAGTGTGGGTAATGTTTTGCTGTGCGTTCCTTCTAAAATGCATAATTTCAATGTAAGTTTGTTATTTTTACAATCAAACAGCATCAAACATGGAATACAATTACTGGGCAAAGCGAAACAACTTCCAATTTGTGTGTTTAACTCCTTAATGATCTTTATTGTGGATCTAGAAGTAAATGAACAGAAACAAAACTAAGAAGAAGCTCAAAAACTAAATGTGGAAACGTATTTTGTGCAGCCGCCCATCCAGGCTGTCACATTGTAAAGTTTACAGATGATACAGCGGTGGTGGGATGCATCACAAACAATGATGAGTCCAGCTACAGGCAGGAGGTGGAACACCTGGAGAGCTGGTGCAAAGAGAACAACCTTCACATCAATGTGAAGAAGACAAAGGAGATGATCGTGGACTTAGAAGGAACAAACACCTCCCCCACAAACATAGGAGAAACTGCGGTGGAAGTGGTCTCCAGCTACAAGGATGTACACATGAATGACAACCTCAGCTGGAGCAACAACACCACCAGCCTGATCAAGAAAGCTCATCAGAGACTCTACTTCCTCAGACGGCTGAGACGAGCTGGTCTGTGAAGCTCAGTCCTCACCTCCTTCTACAGGTGTGCAGTGGAGAGCATCCTGTGCTCCAGCATCTACGTGTGGCATGGAGGCTGCACAGTTGAAGAAAGAAAAGCTTTGCAGAGAGTGGTGAAGGCTGCACAGAAGATGTTGGAGTCAGTCTCCCCACCATCACAGACATCTACACCTCCAGATGCAGGAAGAGGGCCACCTGCATCATGAAGGACCCCACTCACCCAGCACACACACTTTTTGCCCCACTCCCCTCAGGAAGGAGGTTAAGGAGCATTAAGTGTAGAACCACTAGACTGAGGAACAGCTTCTACCCTGAGGCTGTTAAGACTCATGAATCTCTAACTAGAATAATCACTGAAGAATCACATCATGTTGCTGCTGATCTGTTTCATGTTGCTGCTGATCTGTTTCATGTTGCTGCTGATCTGTTTCATGTTGCCGGTGATCTGTTTAATGCTGCTGCTGATCTGTTTCATGCTGCTGCTCATCTGTTTCATGCTGCTGCTCATCTGTTTAATGCTGCTGTGTTCATTCGTACTCATCTGCTCACACAGACTCATGTTCGTGCTGCTGTTTGACGTATTGTTTCTATTGTTTTTTATATAGTGCTTAGTGTATTTTTAGTTTAACGTTTTTCTGACCTCATATCTTAGATCTTATTACAGTTTTTCTTTTTACATTTTATTGTTGGATGTAACTGGGACCCTGTGTGCATAATTTCGTTCCACCACATGAGGTGGAACGGCAAATAAAGAATCTCTGGTTCTGACTCTGATTCTGTGTTTTGGTCAGGGGTGCAGTGAGTGTGGATGTTTTTATGAGCTTATCCACCCGCAAATGTTTAAAAACCCAAATATTTGCATCTCACACTGAAACTGCATGTTGTCTTATTTGATAGTGGACATTAAAAATATGCTGCATATTAAAAAAAATAATAACAGTAATAATTGTTTACCTATTTCACTGTGGAATAATTTTAGATTGAGGTCTAAATTTTCTGCAACAAGTAGAAAAGACAAGACAAATGTTTTATGAGTGCCTGATTCTTTTCTGAGTGCGCGTTAGTTGTTGATATATGACTGCAGAAGCAGGCCTGTCCGTCTGATTTATTAATTAGTGGTGTTAATGGTGTGTCCTGCCTGGAGATGACAGTGGATGTCTTACATCGATCAAACGTTTTGCACACGTTAGCATTTTGGCAAATCATCGAGATTAAACAGTGGATTAGTTTTCATTTTCCATCAGAAATGTGACGCTAAGACGACGCTGAATCGAAGGCTATTGTGTTAAAGCAGACGCCACAGATCAGTTGAGGTTTGTGTGAAGGTTTGTCAGGATCGGTCCTCTGCACACCACAAACACCAGTTCCATTAATGTTCTGGAACGGCAATTTGTGGAAGACGTCCATGCGATAAAACTTATCTGAACGTGATGCAGAGACGTGCAGACGGATTCATGTCTGTCTCCTAAGTCTGGAGACATTATTAAACGCCACATCGTGTGCCTTAAGTCTCGGTGCGTTGGCGTTCCTGCTGTCACTCGTCAGTCTTCATTTTTGATATTAGTGGAATCATCTTATCTCAAAAGTTGTTAAACATTTAAGCGTGGCTGTTGAATGTTACTAACATAAATTAAAAGTTTAGCATTCCTCGAAGGAATGAATGTTGACAAAGAAAAAAAAAAATCTCATGATACACTCGGGCAGTGGCGCCTCCAGGATTTTTAAATGGGGTGGCCATGTGGGTGGCCACTGAAAATCCTGGGTTGGCATAACAAATCCAAGCAAGAACAAAATGTGAGAATTTGTGTTTTCTAGTGTGTGACTCCCTCATGTAATCAGCTCCTGCCTCCGCCACCTGTGGTCCTTCACAGGTGTTT